GCTTCCTCCCGCGGCACCCACGGGTGGGATCGCCAGGGCACGGGGCCGCCCGCCTTCCCCCCGCCTGGAGCTAATGCTATTTTCTAATTAGTGTCTGCAGAGGGGTCATTAATGAGCTCATCACTGGGAGGAGGAGGAGGGGGAAGGGATTATGGCCACATACGCTTTGCATTAACCACCATCACAGGGATCTTTGCAGCCTCCTCGGGGAGGGGGGAGATTTACACAGCTGGGAGGAGGCGCGGGCGGGCGGCTCTGCCTTCCTCTCCCGGGGGAGGATGAGCCCGAGGAGAAGAAAGGGAAGCCGGGCTCAGCGAGCTGCAGACGTCATGTGTTTACAGAGTTGGGTAGGAGGGGATGGAGGTGTCTGGGGAGCAGCCGGGTGAGGGGGGACCCCCAGCTCCCCCCTTGACGCTTTCCTCCGCTCATTCCAGCATCTTGGCTGCGTTGCTTTGCCATAGGGATGGTGCAGGTTTATTCCTTGGAGCCCAATTTACAGATGAGGACATCAAGACCCTCCGCACTCCGGCTGGGTTTGCTCAGCAGCCACTCTTGGGGGACAGCAGGGATGAACCCCAGTGGGTTTTTCCAATCCTTCTTCCTCCCCATCCTGACTGTGTTTTGCCTAGCCTGCAATCATCCCCTCTTTGCCAAAAGAAGGAGAAGCAGAGCAAAGCAGAAGGTCATCCTCAGGCTTTGCAGGCGCCGAGCTGGAGGTGGGTCAGGGTGCATGCCCACCAGAGCTCACCGGCCCCCCATTGCCCACCCTGGGCGACCTTTTGAACCAGGACAGGAATTCGAGCCCCGGTCCTGACATGGGCCCTGCTGGCTTCTGCCCATCTCTGTTGCATTTAATAAAACAGGTATTAGAGTGGTGGAGTCTCGTTTCAGCCATCGGGTTTGAACGGCTGCCTCCTCATTTTTGTGCGGAGCTTGAAGGAGAAGTCGCAAGACATTAAGCCCTTGTTATAAGCAGGGGGATTTGAGGAGAGTTATTGGCATCTGCAGGACATAGCTGGGCTGGGAAGAGCCTCGGAGGACGCTGCAAGCCTCCTGCCATCACAGAAACAGCAGCTTTTGTGCTTGGCTGCAGCCTGGCTGTCAGCCCTGGCCTGCCCTGGGTGGGAGATGATGTTTTCAGCACCTCCGTTCCAAGGGAGCAGGTTTGTGGGGTGCTCCTGGGCTCTGCTCCTGTGACAGTTTCCAGCTGGAGCTGCAGCCCTTGCTTTGATTTCTGAGCATCCCCCGGGGTTGCAGCATCCCCCCGGGTCTGCAAGGCACCCGCGCTGCTCAGGCATCCATCCCTTTGCCCAGAATCAAGGGGTTTTGGCCCGTGCCGTGCCACTCGGGGAGCAGGGCGGTGCTGGGGGGGCTGGGAGCCCACTCGAGTTCACAGGAGGTTTTCTTTGGCACGGGGCCCCTCGCCCCCCCGCCCGATGCCGATGCACAGCCCCGGGACCACGGCAGAGGTTTGCCTCTCTGCCCAGGCCCGGCGTCCCGGTTGCTCTGGCACCTCGGGGCACCGGCGAGTTCCGCTTGGACCACTGTCCCCAAAACCCTCTGGAGAGAGCAACGGGCTGTTGCTCTTCATTAAACGAGGATCTGCAGGGATGAAGCAGGAGTAGCGCAGGGTGAGGGCATCGCTTCTGCCAGGGGTGCACATCTCGAGCCCCTTCCAGGCTTGGATTGTTAAACCGAAACAGGCACAGGGCAGCAGAGCTGCTGGGGATCTGAGTCTCCTTACAAATATTTATCCCTGCTCTGGGCTAAGGTTTCCCAGCTCCCTCTAATGAAGTGCAGGCATCCCCAGCCGGCGATGGGCTCAGAGGGGCTGGGAGCCGGGGGCGGCTGCAGCCAGCGTCATGGCTGAGCGTCCTGGGTGCTTTGAGGATGCCAGGACAAGGAAAATCCCTTCCTCTATCATTTGGCATTCCCATCTGGACAGTGAGACCTTTTTTGCCCATGGGCTGGGGAAGCTGTGTGGCCTCTGAGACCCACCCCTGGATGTGCTTTGCCTTCATCTGCTGCAGCCCTAGGGCATCTCCATTTTTTTGTAGCTGGGACATCAGAGGTGAAAAGCAGAAATTATTTGCTCCACAGCATATCTGTCACACCCGGTTCCCCATCCCCTCGGCGTGCCGCGGTGCCATGCTCACCCCCTGCCGCCTTCCCTTTGCAGACCTGGACGAGTGCTCGGAGGGCAACGGCGGCTGCCAGCAGACCTGCGTCAACATGATGGGCAGCTACGAGTGCTTCTGCCGGGAGGGCTTCTTCCTCAGCGACAACCAGCACACCTGCATCCAGCGCCCCGAAGGTTAGTGCGTGGCATCTCCCCACCCCGGGGCACCCTCCATCCCCTGCATTTATCGGGCAGAGCTGTCCCCCGTCAACCCCGGCCGCCCCTGCACGGTGCCTGGCTTTGGGTGCTGGTGCTGGTTCATAACCCTACTCTGTGCTGCAATTTTAAAAGCAAATTTATTATAAGCACAATGGGAGAGGATGCTGTGGGGCTGATAAACATCTCTGTAACAAAACCCTCGCAGGCCCCTTCGTCAAGCACAGTAATACCAAACGGAGGATGTTAATCCTCCATCCAGAGCATTTCATTAAATAAAAGGTACCCGGAGATCCTCACGCCACCCTGTGAGACTCATCTTCTCCTGCCAGGTCCTGCGCAGCACTGAGTCCTTCGTCTCCATGTCAGCACTAAATTGCTGCCGTCTGGAGCGATCTCTTAGCCAAAATAGGAGGAAATGAGAGATTTTTTGCGTCTCTGCTGATTTTTATCTCCGCTTGCTTGGCAAAGCTGGCTGAGTGTTTTTGCTTTCCTCCTTCCCCCTTCCCAGCTGCGTTGGTCCCTCCAGCTCCCCAGGGAATCTCGCCAGCCTAGGACAGCTCAGCGGCTGTGGTGGCATCTCCCATGTCGCCGTCCCCTGTGTGTCTGGGAGGGATGCGCTGGCTGTTCCTTCTTCCTGGTGACGCAGTGGGTGGCCCCTACTGAGGACAGGGATGCAGGTGCTGGGTTTTGAGCTGATTTTTTGAGCTGAACGGCTGCAGATTGTTGTTGGCCTGAGGAGGTCTGCATTGCTGCTGCACCCCGAGATTGATCTTGTTGCTGCTGCATGGTCCCCGAGCTCAGGCTCAGGAGTGGCTGCTGAGGATGAGAGGTGGGAGGGCTGCAGCTGCTCCCCGGGCTGTGAGCCTGGAAAAAGCGGAGAGCTGCAGACAATTTGGGGTCCGACGTTAAAGCCTGTAAAGACTTTACTCCTGGCTCTCGGGCACTGCCAAGGCAGAAGCATTCAGTATTAGCGAGCTAAACCTCAACATTATGGCTGCTTCCTTCCTTTTGGAGTCCTTGCCAGCTCCTTGTCTCTCTTCTCCCCTGGAAGGAGGCTTTCTTCTTTCCTTCTGTTCTTTCTCCATTTCTCATTCTCCCTCTTGCTTTCCTCTCTCTGTCGTGATGCAGAGGGGATGAAATGCTGCTGGGTTGAGACACCCAGGGGATGGATCCCAGGACCCGCTTCCTGCGGCACAACCCTCTCCCTCGCACCAACTAGTCCCTCCCAGTAAGGAGACGCCAAGGGTTGGGGCTTGCTGTGTATCAGTGCCTTTAAACCCTGTTGCACTAAGCCAGACAATGACAGCAGAGCAACCAAAAGCAAAAGGGGTGAGCAGGGTCCTCATACGGTGCTGGGGCAGGAGCAAATGACGTTGTTGCAGGGAGAGGAAGGATCAAAGGGGGTGCATGGGTGCATCCCTTCCCGGGGTGTACGCACAGAGGGATGTGTCCTGGCATTGTGCAGTGGAGGAGGATGCCGTGTCCAAGTGGAATGCCCTGGGGAGTCTTAGAAAAACAGTGTGCGGCCGTCCTGGCCTGGAGTGCAGCCAGGCATGCGGATGCTGGAGCTTGCATCTCCACTGGGACATGCTGGGGGATCTCTTCAGATTGCCAGCGGTCGGGACCTGGCTTCTCTGGAAGGTGGCATCTCCAGTGGAGCAGGAGCAGGGTCAGCTTCGGAGGTCTCAGTGTCTGCGTGGCACCAGGGATGCAGCGGAGGGGCTGCCAGGTAGTAAAGAGCAGCAGGAAAAAAGAGGAGGAGAGAAAATCCGAGGAGAGGCTGAGAGCGCTTGGCTGTCCCCAGCATCACTGGGCCACTGTGTGCCCCGGGGGTCCCAGGGCAGGGCTGAGTGGAGCGCGGGGGCTCGCAGCAGCATCCCAGCCCTGGTGCAGGCTGGAGGGTGTCAGGGGGGATGGAGTGGGGCTCCCCACAGGTTTGGGGTTCCCAGCCCCAGCACGGAGGCCAGGGACGGGAAGGCTGCTGCCATTGGAGGCAGGAGACTCTAATTACAGAGGACTTTCCTGCCACTGCAATTACAGATGATGGCCCCGTCCTGGAGCAGAGCCAGGTGGGATCTGCCGGGCAGGTGATGGGGAGCAGCCTGGGACACCCGCACGCTCCAGCCTGTGGTTTTTAACCCTTCCTGTGCATGGCTGGTGCATCTCAGCACCCTTCTCGAGGTGCCCTGACTCCATAAGGGTCTTCCCTTGCCCTTCTGCCCCGGGCTCTTGGTAGCCCACAGGGTTGCAGCTCTGCCCGGTCACCCATCCTGATGCTGGCATTGCTCACCGTTTGGTGGGCTTGGCCCCGGGGCGGCTGGAAAGGAGCTCCTCCGTCTGCCAGAAAAAGGCCCTGAGCAGGCGGTTGCATCTCCCAGAGGGCCATCCCCAGCTTGCTGTGGGCTTTGTTAAATGTCTCATAGACTCCTGTCAATGCCCTCTTCAGCAGCCGCTGATCCTGGCTGTCTTCAGCTGGGTGCCCCCGTGGCCTGAGAGAGGCCAGGGCAGGAGGGGCTGTGGACGGGTCAGCGAGGGTGAAACAGCAGCTCCGGTAATGGGAACCAGCAGCTCCCCAAACCTGCATTCCCCAGGGGCTGCCAGTGCCTGAATCCTCCCTGAGCCGTCAATTCATCCCATAGCTTACGGAGATGGCCCTTAGGGCTCAGCCTGGCAGAGCTACTCCAGGACTGTCCCCATCACCGTCGGCTCTGCCCCCCCCAAAACCCTTACTTGCTCAGCTGAACAATGCCATGACTGCTTGCCTGGGGGTCTGTAATCACAAGCATGCTCACCCCGTCCTCCTCATCTTCCAAAAAGGAGCTGCCTCGCTCCTTCATGTCAGTGCTGGGCCGGGCTGGCGGGCAGTGCTTGCCCCAAGACGTGGGAGCGTGCTCTCACCCAAGGCAATGGGAGGGAATTAAAGGTTCAAAGCTCCAGGGTGGCTTCATCCACCTTCCCGAGCCTGGAGGTGCTGCCCTTCAAGGCACTGCACGGGGTTATCTGGTCCCCTCTAAGCTCCTTGCCTGCAAGGCTTTCTCCTCGTTGCCCCCATCTCCCCATCCCATCCCACCCCAGGCATCCCTCTGCCAACACAGACTGGTGCTGGCAAGCTTTTGGAGCTTTTCTTTGCTTTCTTCTCTCTTTTAGAAGGAATGAACTGCATGAACAAGAACCACGGCTGTGCCCACATCTGCCGGGAGACCCCCAAGGGGGGCATCGCCTGCGAGTGCCGCCCCGGCTTCGAGCTCACCAAGAACCAGCGTGACTGCAAACGTAAGGAGCATTCCAGGGATGGGGACACAGCCTCGCAGGGACCCCTAACCTTCTCCCAGTAGTACAGACCCCTCCTGGCCCTGCTGCAAAGCACCGACCCCCCTGGTGCTAGTTGATTTATCGAGCCAGCAGCCCTCTGGCTTCATTTTTCCTCTGGCATGCCTGGCTCTGCCTCGGTTGCCCTTGCAGATGATGGCATTCCCTTCTGCCATATCCCCAGGAGACATCACGCCCTTGCACTGGGCAGGCTGAAGTGGCAGCTAAAAGGGGTCCCAGAGGTGCAGCATCCCCTGTCCCTGTCCCACCATTTCACTTTCCCAAGGGGAGATGAGCAGGGAGAGTGCAATCGGCACGGGAGGAGTGCAGGAATCCTCTCCCCAGGGAATGTGGTGCTCTCAGGCTGTCTGATCTCCCGCCAGCATCTCGCTGGCACTGCCAGGGTTATTAAATAGATATGTATGTGTTTATGCAATTATTTTTATTTTGTTTCTCATTTGCTGTCTGCAGCAAACGTGTAAAATCGCTGATGGAATGGAGTTTTAATCCTACAAGCCTATTTTCTCTCCAAGCTAAATGAGCAGTACGCCTTGCCCCCCGGGGAGGGCTGGCAGGGATTCCCAGGGGCACCTGAGTCATTCCAGAGCTCGGGAAAGTCCCATGCTTCCCCTGTAACACCAGATCCAGGGTCAGGGGCAAGCAGCCCAGTGGTCCCCTTTGCTCGGGCTCCACCGGTGGCATTGAGCAGAGATGCAAAGGGAAGACGCGAGAAACCGCAGAGCAGTTTGCAGATGCCAAGATCCCGCAGGGAAAGTCAAAGGGCTTTAGAAATTATCCGGGCGGGAGGGATCTCTCTGAGGGTACGGATGAGGTTTTTCCAAGCCTGCTTTATGCTCCCTCTTGGGGATGCCGGATGGGGAGGAGAGGGGCTGGGGCCCTGGGTGACGGCCGGTGCTCTGCCTCTCGCAGTGACCTGCAACTACGGGAACGGGGGCTGCCAGCACACCTGCGACGACACCGACCAGGGGCCCAAGTGCGGCTGCCACGCCAAGTTTTTGCTGCACTCCGACGGGGTGACGTTCATAGGTAGGTGTGAGCCATCGCCTGGCCGCGGGGACGTGGGTCGGGGCGCGGGAGGGCTCAGATTCCTCCCTGGGCAATTTACTCTTGGCCTGGTGAAGGGGTTTGTGGTTTTATTTCAAGCTATGGGGATGTGGCGTTTCCTTTTGCTGAGATTGGAGAAACTCGGTGCGTGTGTGAGGGGTGCTGTGGGTACCCGTGGGGCTCAGTGATGCATTGCTGCTCGACCATGGGGAGCGAAAGTGGCCACGGGTATGCGTGAGGACAGGTCGGTTGTGCCAGGGTGCGGGCAGGGGTCCCTGCCTGCCTCTGCGCTGCTGGAGGGAGAGGGGTGAGGGTGTCCCCATGCTGGAAATCGTTCTGGTCTCTGTCACCAGCAGCTTTCGGGGAGGGACACAGAGGGGACAGATTTGGCTGCAGCGATTTGTTCTGACTTGACACCACAGGGTCTCGGATCAGGAGCAATCGTTTTGCAGAAAAAAACCCAAAGCCCCAACAACCTGACAACTAAACCACCCCCAGAATTGTGCTTTTCCTGTGTGTGTTTTCAAATTGTAAAACATCAAACAGAGATACAAGTTTTACTGGTTTCATATGCTTGTGCTGTTTAACAGCTGATTTGATTTAAAAAAATGTTACGTTCGGGGAGTGATTAAGTCCACAAATTGCACTAGACATTTGAGTTCTTATTGCAAAATAAAAAAGAAAAAGGAATTGAAAGCAAGAGAGAGGTTTTGGCTCCCCGTGTCCCCGCTGTGCCCGAACAGAAAACCCTCTGCGCTTTCCCAAGACAGCTCCGTCCTTGGGGCGAGCAGCGGAGGAACCCCCTGAATCCCTGGCTGCTCCCAGCTGGTTCAAGGGATGCTCGGGGCTGAGCCCTGCTGCCTGGGCTCGGCTGCCTGCTACCTTAATGTCACCACTGTCACCCAGCCTGCTTCCCGAATTAACTCCAGTCCCTCCTGACTGCTGGCAGGAGCTCGCAGCGCCTCGTCCCCGCCGTCCTCGTGTTTGCTGCTGCGGCCGCTGCACCCTCTCCCACCCACGAAGCACGCTGCCGTGGGGTTATTGCCATGCCCGGGGTGGGGAGCGCTCCTCCAATGGGGACCTTGGGACCCTGGGGTGCGTCAGCTGGTGTGTTCCTCCTGGACGGAGGTCCCTGTGCGTGTGGTGTCTGTGTTGGTGTGAGGACTCGGGGGGGTTTGGCTCCGAAATGATCCTCCCGACCTGCTGGGCACATGGGGTGGGGGAGCAGTTCTTCGCAGCATCTCACGTTCCGGGGGATGCTCCAGAGGGGGCTGTTTGCCGGAGGGTCTCAGCGCTCGGACCCTGGGTACCGCAGGTGTGAGGGTGGGATCTGGGTGTTTCCAAAATTGCTCATCCTCATGGCCTTGGCCAAAAATCTCCCCCCTTAATCCCCACACCGTGCACCGTATCTGCCGGGGAGGCATCTCCCACCAGAGCTGGTGTATCACTCGCCCACCTTCCTGGGGGAAATCAAACACCACAGTGGAGGATTTCAGGAGCAGCACCAGCCCCAAACCCACCGCCGTGCCTTTCGCATCCCTTTCGTGGGTCTGCAGCCCCCTCTCCGCAGAATGGAGCCTGCCCGGGAGCCGCCAGCTGCTCCACGGGGATGCCCGGCCAGCAGATTTACGGCCGAGGTACCTGCTCGGTTATTTATAACCACCCTTTCTTGTTTTACAGCCAGGGCTCAGCAAACAGCCCTCCCCCCTCCCCGGTGCTCCCTCCGCCTCCCCTTCCCCCTTTCCTCTGAAATATTTCATCATTTCAAGGGGAATAAAGTTTCCAGCGAGGGGAAACGCAAACTCGCTCCCCGGGCCATGGGCTTTGAAATTGTACGCGGTGTGTTTGATGGGCTGCCGGGACAGGCCCCTGGTCCAGGTTCCCTTCAGATCACACCACGCGGCAGGAAGCACGCTCAGCCCCTTTGAATGACAGTTTCATTAGGCCACGGCCGGTGTTTTTCATTTTTCCGCTTTTTATTGCTGCTTTTAAAAATGCAGATAATGAATAACATGCCTCTGAGCGAAGCGGGGCCAGCCCTAATGGCTCCCAACATGTCTGGAAGCTCGAGGGGGAGGGGAAGCCGGGAGGGGAGGCCGATGACCTTATATATTTATATTTATGCTCAAAAAGCAACCTTTTTTTCACATATATAAAAAAAAGTGCATAAAATCACCCTCCAGCAGCCGAGGGTGTAGCAGCCGTGGGGAAATGCAAACCAGGCTGTCATTATTGATGCAGATTTTGACTTTCTGGGAAGATTTGCAAGCCAGGGCATCACTGCAGCTCCCTTCCGCCGATATATGGGGTGCAGCGGGGCTGTTGCCGTTCCCCCACTTGCGGCAAGCACCAGTGGGGTGGGAGGCGGTGGATGGGGAGGAAATACGATTAGATGGAGAAGGAAACTAAACCCAGCTCAAGTTTTATGGCCGATTTCCTGACCCGCGCCCAGGCAGTTTGCAGCAACACCGCTGATGGTCCCCAGCTCTGTGGAGCTGGCAGTGGGGGCTGTGCCGGACCCCACTCCCAGGTGAATGCTGGGGACACCAGAGTGAAGGGGCCGAGGCGTAGGAGGGCTCTGGGAAGGGGAAAGCAGGACATGAGGGCGCAGGGCGGGTGGCCGTGGGCATGGCGTGGACATTCCTCCGCACACATCGACCTCCCCAAGGAGGACATGGTCACTGCACCCCGCTTCCCGGCTGCTGACCCCCTGCCCTCAGCCTGAGCCCCCAGGGACAGCGCAGCCACAGCTGGGGGCTGCGTTTCCCCTCTTTTTCCCTTCCACCATCCCTGCTCCGCACGGACCCGCCGTTGTTTCTCCTTAAGGGGGGATGCACTCGTCTCCGCTCAGTCCCACGGGTGATGGGCTCCACGTGCCCTGCGCTTGCCCCGGGGCTCTCTGGCTTCGGTCCGGCACTGTCACAGGGCTCTGTCCCCACATGGGAGCAAAAAGAAGCGCTGGGGTGCCTTGTCCCCTCCCCAGAATGACCGGGATGAGGCAGGGAAATCTCCCAACCACCCATGGGTGGTGTCGGGCAGTTTCCTCTGCAGGGCAAAGCTCAAGCTGTTTTTTTGAGGCAATCCCCAAAAGTGATCCCTGGGTGTTTTAGCACTGATTCTGGGGGCTGCAGCTTTGTCCAGGCTGCTCTCAGCCCCTGCTTGGCCATTTGTACCCCCCCCAGGCTCCCGCACACTCCCTGGGGTGCTCAGCACCCTGGAGCTGCGCCGTGCCTCACTGGGGCTCCCTGCACCCGGGTGCACCGATGCATGGGTGAGGCTGAGCAGCACAAGTGCACCCAAAATTTGGGTTTACCGTCAGCTTGGCCAGCTTCACCACTAAATCCAAGAGGTGCAAGTGCTGCGGTTGCCTTCCCGAAGCCCGTGGCCACTTATCACCACCCATATGGCTTCACTCGGGATTTGCAACCCGCCCCAGCACGCACTGGTCTTGCTCCGGCGAGGGCAAGGACACAATTCCCAGACTAACGGGCTGCACTAACGCTCCTCGTAACGCGCTGCTTCCCTCTCGCATGGGGCTCTGGCCGGCGTGATGCAGAGTGTGAAACCGGAGGGGCTTTGGAGAGGCTGCGGGACATGGGATGCTTCAGACAATAACAATGGACCCAAACCTCGAGTTTTGGCTTTTTTGGGAGTTGGGGGGAGAAAAAACCCAAAGGGACAATTTCCACCGGGCTGGAAAGGCAGAGGAGTCGAACCCATTGACGTGTGACACCAACCGAGCTCCTTGCTGGACATTGTTTCTAAATCACTTTTTTATAATGTTAAACAGGGGAGAGACACTTCCAGCAACACGTTATCCTTGAGACGTTTTCTAATGGTAAATATTTTTGTTCTCTCTATCTCTACGAAGGGGTCTAACCGTAGACGGTCTCTCATCTCGAGATCATAACTGGGCTCGGGGGGCTGAGCTGTCGCGCTAACCGCATGCCTCACTAACCCCGTCCCCTGCTGCTGCTTTTAAACCCCGCAGAGCAAGCCTGGCCTCGGGCTGCAAGCAGGCTTTGCTTTTGGGGGATGGAGAAAGAAACCCTCCCCTGGCTGCGCTTGCATGAGGCGGGGGCTCTCGCGTTGCTGTGGTCGATCCAGCCCGGTGCAGGGGGTGTTAATCTGCTTTCCAGGGGCTGCGGCAATGGTTATGCCCCCTCCGCTGGCGCCAAGCAAGCCCGAGAGGAGCTTGGGCTGCCGGCGGCTGCGTGACAGGGAGGGGAATGCTTGTGCCCATCTCCGTGGCTGTGCGCTCCTGAAGTTACCCCTTCCCGGAGCCCACCTGCTCACGGAGCGTCCCCTCTGCGGGTGGGGGACATGCAGGGTGTCCCAGGGTTTGGCCCAGCAAAGCTGCTAACCGTGCTCAGGGGCACCCAGCCCAGAGCCGCAGCAAACTGCAGAGCTGCAACGACCCGTTATCGGGCTGGGCGCCTCGGCCGCTTCCCCAAGGATTTCTTTGCAACCCCCGCCGGGTCTCTAAGCCCTTCACAAAGGTAAGGCGATGCCTCTGCTCTGCCGACAAGGAAACCGAGGCGGTCTGAAGGCGCGGTGACTCGTCTGCGGTGGGGAATCTCGTTCATGGACGTGCTGGGTGCATGCGAACTCCTGGCAGATTCAGGAGGAGCTGTGGGTGTGCGGCTCACTGGTGGCAGGGAGCACCGGCCACGGCTCTGGGGGGGCTCTGCAGAGCCGGGGGTGGGAGCAGGGGGGACCCCCAGCTCCGCGCCGTCACCGTGCTCCAGCCAACCCGGCTGCAATCCCTCCGATTACCGTGCAATTATCTCCTTAGGCCCATGGTATCGCGATCCTGCTGCGGTTGCCGCTTCCCGTGTGCGAAGCCGGAGGTTGTGCGGGCAGGGCGCTGCGGGGGCACGTGCAGGGATTCTGTCGGTCCCTGGTGATGGCCGGCACCGTGAAGGGTGCAAGGATTTCCATGCTGCAGCGGTCGGGAAGCGAGACCGGAGCTGGGATGGAGGAGGGTGGGAAGGAGTGTATGTGTGTGTGTGTGCAAGCTGCTTTGTCTTCTCCCTCCCCGAGCGATGGAGGCCCTCGCCAAAGCCCTGTGTGGTTGGGTGAGTCACGCCGGCTCTCGCCAGGCTGGGAGCAGCCCCCGGCTGCCGGCACCGCCGAACAACACGCTTTTTGCAAGCCGGGGACGTGGTCCCCTCGTTGCAGAGGGGTTTGCAGTGGTGCTCCGGCCGTGCTGGCTGGGCTCCCGCCCCACGCACGCCCCAGGCAGCGGCCGCATCGTGCGTGGGATGGCGAGCAGGGCTTGATTTACATCTCAGCCGCAGTTCCCAAAGGTGCAGAGGGGCTGGGAGGGGAGATGGGTGCTGCGTTCTTCGCCCCGCTGCTGCAGGGAGGGGACGGTCCCGGTGCGGCCGGGCTGCGTGCGGTGTGAGGACCTGGCTGGAGGAATAATATCTGCAGAAATCCCTCCCTTGCCGTTAGGTTTTGTAATTGTGCTGGCTATTAATTTCATAAAATGGTCCCTTTTGTTCTCTTATTATGGGACATCATAAAAATAGCAGCGGCAAGACGAGCACAGAGCGATCCCAGCTCCCTCGCCCTGCGGCAAATGGTTGGATGGTTCAGTCATTCCCACCCCATGCAGCACTCGCAAAGAGTGGGAGAACCTGGGATTTGCTCTTTCCAAGGAATTTCTTCAAGGCATTTTCATCTTGGGTTCCTTGAAGCCCAAATGCCTCATTTATCCAAGCAACCAGCCTTCTGAAAGGAATATTTTATTATCCTTTGTGAACAAGTTAATGCACTTCAAACCATTGTTCTGGTGGTTAGGACCGAAACTGAGGATTGATCTCACAGGGAAGCTGTCAAGCTGAAAATGTTTCATTTAAATTAGTGTCCCTTCTAGTCCTACCAGCAACAGCTGATTTTGATAATACTGAAATAATTAGCATTTTTTTTTAAATTGGATTTTTTTTCCACTGATGCTGCCTGCCTCTGTGTGTGTGTTCTAATTATACGAAGCGTCTCCCAAATTAGCCCGTGACACTGGACCAGCCGGCGTGCCGGAGCGGCGGGTGATGGTTAGGGACCGGCGACACAGGGTGACGGGTGGCTTTGTGCCTCGGTGGCGGCGGTGGCAGCGAGGCGGCCGGGACCTTCCCCCCCGCCATCCCACAGGGACTGGGGCTGCGCACCTGCATCCCGGGGAGCCGCAGCCTGGGCACCCCCAGCGAGATCCGGCTCTGGCTGCGTTTCGCACAGCAAGGGCTGTGACTTTGTCACCAGGTATTTCAATTCCTCCTCACTGGAGCTGCCAAAGCCGGGCTCCACCAGACCCTGCTTTTGGGGGACACGCAGCCCCAGTGCCAGCGCACAGCAAGGGCTGTGACTTTGTCACCAGGTATTTCAATTCCTCCTCACTGGAGCTGCCAAAGCCGGGCTCCACCAGACCCTGCTTTTGGGGGACACGCAGCCCCAGTGCCAGCGCGGAGGCTGAGCGTGGCGGGATTAATCCCACAGAGCCGCTTTTCCCTCCGTCAGCTGAAAAGCCGACGTGTTTCAGGAACGAAGAGCCTCCGTTGAACCACCTCCCCTTTTCCCAGCACCCTGACTGCCGGCTGTTTAGGCAGCGGCTCTGCCTGCACATCCCTGCCTGTGTCCCCGACCCTGTCCTCCCCGGGATGGCCGGGTGCCGCTCTGCTCCCTGCCTGCAATTAATAAAGCATCCTCTAACAAGGGGACAGGGCTGTCCCACTCCCCTCTCTGCCTTAAATGCAGATACCCAGTATACAAGAGCAGGTTGTTGGAAAGTGGGAGGGTTGCACAGGGGTTTGGACGGTGAACTGGGAAATCTGGGTGCTTTTTCCTGCCTTAGCACTGCCTGCAGCCTGGGGTGAATCACAGGCACCCTTATTTCACCTCCAAAATCCCTGGGGAGCAGCACCCGGCTGTGCGGCAAGGGCGATGGGAAAGGCAAGGAGTGCCAGGTCGTCTGCGGAGGCGAAAGATGCTGTGGGGTCGCCAAGCATTAATGCCTTACCCCTCTGGCCCTCGTGCTCCGTATCCGGGGTGTTTTATTAATCTGGGGGCTCCGTTACTGCGAAGGGCGATTTCCGTGGGCTCTACAGGGAGGTTTGCACCCGCTGCCTCTCCCAGCCTGCAGCGTGGGGACATCTGGGTGGCGTGACCCCCCCAGCCTTTTCGACACTGGTCCCTCACCTTGCTCTCTCCCCTCTCCGAACAGAAACGTGTGCTGTGAACAACGGGGGCTGCGACAGCAAGTGTCACGACGCGGCGACGGGCGTGCACTGCAGCTGCCCCATGGGCTTCATGCTCCAGCCCGACAGGAAGACATGCAAAGGTAGGTGGGCACGCGCGGGGCCAGGGTGTTCGCTGCTCACCTATGGGTGCCTCAGACCCCTCTGTGTCCTCGGTGCCCTTAGGAAAGGCTTGGTTTTAGCTCGGCTGGACGTTACCTGCAGCATTCCCTCGCCTGGTGTTTGCCTTGCTGGGGTGGGGATGGGGATCAGCCCCAGGCGCGGGAGCTCAGCCGCCTCGCTAAAGGCGCCGTGGTCAGCCCTGCTCCCCCGGGAAGCTCACAGGGAGGAGGAAAGGGGGGGCAGGTCAAGTCAGAGGTGATGGCGTGGCAGTTGTGGGGCCAGGGGGGCGCGGCCCGCCG